ACACACACCCCAATGAAAGAATAGACCATTCCAAGCTTTAACTTGTTGTTAAACAGATGTTTAAACAACTCTACTATTCAATTAATGAGTTCATCATTGAGATACTATAGATGTTCAGCCAATTTGTGACAGGCAGATTTTGTAAGAACAAAATTAATCTTCTTATACTTAACAAGACATTGCAGGAAGTTAAGATCACTGCAAGGAGCAGAAATAGCATCAGGAGCAGTGAACCATGTTCTGAGATAGATTTTAACAACAAAGATGCAAATGTTATGAAGACCTACATCCTTATGGCCAGAGAGCTTAAACTCTCCCATAAAAATCCAGATCTTTAGGATATATAAGGCCTTGGCCATCCATCATGCATGATGCTGTGCTCCAGGTGCTATAAATCACACGCCATGAGGAGGGATGCCACCAAGAAAGATTATAGCTAGTTCAAGAAGCTCTCGATAATTGTCTCTAGGTTGGTTGCCCCAACTATTGGTACTTCATCATGGTCAGCTGCAGTGTCATAAATGGACTGGTCCATGTATTCCCAAGATTGTTGGAGTTGTTTGAAAATTGCAATACCTGGACCAGAGGAAGACCCCATACAGTCTTTGAAAACACATACCAGAACAAGTTCTAACATATGAAACAAAATATTCTAGAAGTGAAAAGTTACAGAATGGATTATATATATAATGTTCTTCAAGATTCTGAATAATGTGAAATTTCCTGGGATATTCCGGAATGTGCTAGAATAACATGCTAAAATGTTCCAAAATATTCAGAATATGTAGATATAACGTGAGATACAAGGTAAAATTTCAACTACCATGAACAACCCCTAAATGTTATTAAATATGGATTTCTTATTTATAGGTATTGGTTTGGTATTTGGTGTTTTATGGTGCAAAGCAACGAGGCTATCTGTGGCAAACAACCAGTAAAAACAGTAAAAAAAAAGAAACTAGAGTAAAATGTAAAAACACAGCGAGTTAAATCTAAAATATGTACAAAATTTAGCTGAAAGATTTATATACAATTAAAAAGGCCAATTGTTCTTAAAAAATTAAAAATACAATCAAGTCGGACAGTGTCACAATCCCCAATGACACTGTCCAACGTCGAGGTACAACAAATTGTGGGATATCATTAGAAAACTGCTCCTTTTACATAGTCAAGCAGCTGCAGAACATAGTTTCTCCATTAACTAGGCAGTGATTGTACTATTTACACTGATTCTCTTAGCTCTCTACTGGCCCTGGAATCACTTAATGTTAGTTCTCACCCTGTTCTTGTCGATATTCACGGGAACGAGCTTGCTGACACTGCAGCAAAGTCCGTCTGCTATGGTGCCGACACGGCTGTGTCCGTCCCGTACATGGACTACGGTCCTATCTTCAAGACGTGGCTACATGCCATTTGACTTGGGGTTAGCAACGTCATAACAAGCTTATCCTGATCAAACCTTCTGTTGCTCTCTGGCCGTCTTGCTTCCATAAAGATCGGAAGGAGGAAGTTGTCCTGGCAAGGCTACGCATTGGTCACAGTTTTTAACTCATCATTTTCTTTTATCTGGTATGGACCCACCAAAGTGTAGCCTTTGTGACACTCATGTCACAACAGCCCACATCTTACTGTCAAGCCTTCGTTACGACCGTGAGTGGTGGCACCATTTTAGACGCGTGTTTTGTAAGAGTTTACCCCTAAGATAAAAATACCATCAGTATCTTTATCTAAAATTATATTTGCAGAATCTAAATTATTATGTCACCAAATTCAAGTAGTTCTTCATAAGCTTGTTAACTGTAACAAACTGAACATCAAAATCTTTGATGAGATCTCAAGCCAGTTTACAGAAATTTGCTGCAAAGATCAAGTAGATGGCAACTTATAAATACTTTGTTCTTTGAAATACTGTCACAAAAATATGTCAGTTACATAATATATCCAGGGTATTTGATATTCCTTCTATGACTAATGACATTGAGACTGTTTATTAATGCACAAAAACTTGTAAGATCAAAATATTTTTAAGGGAAACAGTCCATACTTAAAAAGTAATTTGTTAAGGGTTTTTAAGTTGTAGTAAAACGATTCTCCATGATCTAGTTTTGGAAGATGAGATGAAGCCCTGTTCATTTAGTCTAAAACCTACCAACTGTTTACATGTTCAGTGGAATTTTAAGCAGAGTACAAATGGTAGGTTTCAGAACTTCAATGAACTGCAAGTTCCTGTTGAAAGAAAAGGACATGACACTCAATTCTACTGACTACACCTGCCAATCACCACAACTGATCAACCCACACAGCCTCAGTTTTATCACACGCCCATGATTACCTTTATAAGACATTAAACAAGTACCTACAGTGGCCTGGAGAAGACCTCAGTACAGAAGTCAAAACTTTGTCTCCTCTTCTTTCAACAGAGAGTTCCAGTTTACATGACCTTTTTCAACTGGCATCATACCCCAAGACACTTTAATTGTAAACAAAAAGATTGATGCAGATAAACAATGTTTATGCACAAAATGTGAATATAGATGTATTAAATAAACCAGAATAAATCTGTGTGATTTTAAGATAATAAAGTTTTCTCCTATCCCTATCCCAGAACCATAACTGAGTAATCGCATGAAATTCACTGATTTTTACCAGTTTTTGTCTGTAAAATGACATTCCTTGATGTTTCACAGGATGGGAACACAAAACATAAAATTCACTGGTTTTTACCAGTTTTTGTCTGTAAAATGACATTCCTTGATGTTTCACAGGATGGGAACACAAAACATAAAATTCACTGGTTTTTACAAGTTTCCCTAACTCATGGAGCTTTCTGTACTTGTAGGAGGGTTTCAAAAAATGATTTTGTAAAACAATTACACTTTATATTTCAGTATACATGGAATCACAATCAAAAGCTGGTATGCTATCACCTTCTACATATTACATGTAAAGAAAGCCCTGATAATGGGAACTATAGTTTTAAGCCCATTATAACAATGATCTTAGCTAAATGTGAAAAACTAGCCTTATCTGAGAATATCTCCTATTTACATTACTAAAATTAATAGTTCTTGGAACAAAAGTTATGTGCACCCATACACATGCGGACAAATATTTCAACTAAATAACTCAACTGCTGAAATTATAGTTTTGAACAAAATTTTATTTATGTCCCTAAAATTAGATGACAAAAAACATCTGCTAAGATAAGGTTGATTTCATACAACTTCTAACTAATCACTCAAGACAAATATTAAAACTTTGCATGCATTTCATGAATGATTAGCTTCATCCATTTAAACTGTTTAGAAGTGAGTTAGCCACAGACAAAACTACTTACTGATACCTCTATTCATATATTTCTTTCAACAAACACTAATATCTAAGTTAGCCAAAGGGATCAATAACAAGTTTATGTCTAAGTAACTTAAATAATACTATTTGTTAATGTACATTCATTGCAATATCTTCATAAAGTATGTGTGTGTTAGTTTTGACCCAAGCAGCTAGATCAACTTATGTTTGTCCTTATTCACAAGAAACACTTTATTACCAATGGCAAACTTTCACAGCAATTAAATATTTTAATTCATCAGCCTAAAATAGGTTAATAAAAAATCATCTTAGGTGTTATACCATGCATTTACTGACTAGATAACTAAGTAAAAGTCTTACACTTACATATAATACCAAATTAAGCAATTGTTATGACCACCATCAGGTCATGAATACCCTTGTTCCATTTTGTTGTACTAGTTTATTTTATGCATATAAGCCTAAAGCCATCAATTCCGGTCAAAACTTTTGAATCAGTTAACTTATAAGAAAGAAAGCAAATAAAAATAACAATAATGAAAGCTCTTTACTGATTTAGCTTGCACTTCTACAACTGGACAAAGAATAGGCTTTAATGTATGTAACTTTTCAGTAATGTGTTCTGTAATGAAAATGGACAATCAATGATTTAGGCAAAAACGTACATGATTCTTCTATTACCCACAAAATGTAGGCATGTATCTATGAGGTTATGTAATAAACTTAGGAACTTTCAGTTGTGTCTTACCTATGTTCTATATGAATACAACAACATATGTTTGAAATATTGATAACTATTATTTCATTGTGTGGTATTGAAATTTTTCTTGTACCATGGATGGAATTAGTAAAATGATTTGGAAGTTCTCCACACAGTTATTTCTATACCCACCCAAGTCACTAGAGGAAAGCTTGTTAAAAAATGACAAAAACTTCTTGTCAGTGATAAAGTAAGCATTTTTTATATTTCTACAAATACCAGGAACAGGATGTTACATGCAAAACTGTGTACTTTATAAAGATACCATTTGTCCATTTGCACTTATACCTAAAACCAAAAGTTAACAAACATAAAGCATTTTTACCTGAAATTGCTGGATAAGAGTATCTGCAACTAGCTTTGTTTTTTGGAGTACCATGAAGTTATTTTTGCATCACGAGATGTGATGCTACATGTAGATAATCTACACCCACAGAAACTAATATATATGTAGTTTTAGAAATAAGATATATGAAAAACATCATTTCCTCAAAAAAATTAATGATTGACAAGGAGGGGAACATAATTTTAAACTACAATCTGACAACAATTTTGAAAGAAAATAAGGTCCATAAATCAAATTTCATTTTTCATATTCCAATCTCATTAGTACACAATGCAATGCAATTTGTAGTAAAAATGTTATATGATTATTATCAATCCATGTTACAGCATAACATATTAACAGCATTCACAGAATATCAAAAAAGCTTTAAGATCACTTGAACTAATGACAATTTATAACAACTTTTTTTTTGCAGAATGATTGTTGTATAAAATGTGTATCTAAAGTACTATACCCTTTATATTTTCCATCTCATTCTCTGATTCAGTATCATGTCCACCATAAGAAGCCATAAGTGAACCCAATGCTCCTCCAACTGTAATAAGAGGATTCTTTGACACAGTTGCACGTTGTACAAGGGGCTCTTCCTCACTGTCTGACCCTGTTTTGTTTAAAAAAAACACAAAAAAAACATGCTGAACTAAGCTGTAGAAATGCATTTTCAATATGCAATGGGGGTTTACAAAGTAATAATCAATGTACAGATATTTTATCATATTGACAAATAAGAGTTTCAATAATACTATTAAATTTTTCAATTTATATCTGATTTCTTGTTTACAAAATGCCTAACTGTTATATAATATTTAACAAAGAATCCTGAAATTACTGAAAGTTTTTATTTTCTTACCTGAAAATGAATACCCAATAGATACTTACCTCTACACACAAAATAGCTATGTTCGTCATGCATCTGCCACTAGCCTTGAGTGAACTATGTTTGAGCACATTGATATGAAGTGAACACTTATCCTTTGGACAACAGAAGTCATGCACTCATCCAGAGATGTATCTCAATTAGAGAGGGAAACATCAGTGAAGAGATAGATCTGATTTTGGAGATGGTAAGGGAAGGCTGGAAGTAGTATGGGCATAGCCTAGTCACCATGACAATTCCTTGAGAAGAGGAATGGTTCACAAATGAAGACAAAGGAATCCAAGAAATAAATTCTTGGATCTGCAATGTCCACTGTAGGAGGTGCAGATGTACACACCCCAATGGAATGAGAGATTCTATGGAAACCAGAGTCTTCAAAAATAAAAGAATCTCTAATGCAGAAAAAAGAATTAGAAGAGCAAATACTGGTGACTTGACAGGCCACAACTTGCAGGTAAAGAAGAGAAGGCCGAATTCGGCTGAAAAAAAGATGAAGAAAATGCCCAAAGTACCAAATATTGAGCGGGCATAAAAATGACTTAAATCTCATGACACCACCCCCCAACTAGGTAGCCTTCTATAAAAGAAGGAAGGTGTGAGAAGAGGAAACCATCATTTCACAATAGGCCAATAGAAACCAATCATTCAGCACTGGGCCATGAATATGGTAAGTGAAGGCTCTCACAATATCAATGAATACAAAAGGGGCAACATTATGTCAAAGGGAAAAGCAAGGAATGAGAAGATGTGAAATTGAGGGATGGAACATATGGATGATGGTCAAGAGAGATGTGTAAGAAGATGCCAGATACATCATCCATGGCCAACTGCAGACTGGATGAAAAAGACCACAGGTGGTGTTGGAGAGAGACCAAGGTGGAGAAAAGATGAAGAGACAGGTATCCACAGGGATGGATGTGACATGATAATCACTGACATGAACAGCAATGAACCAGCCAACTGGTAGAGGGAGGATGAGAAAAAGAGGGAGGCCCATGAACCTGAAATGAGAAGGTTACAGGTAGAATGATCCAGATGAGGAACTAGAGTAAAAGGCAAGATCGAGAAAGAAGAAAATCTGGGAATATAACAAGGACTGAAGTCATATAATATCAGTCCAGAAAGAAATTAACACCCATAAAGACATACAGGTGAAGAAAGGGAGCTCAACAAAGATCATGTGTACAAGGAAAAGGAAGGAGTACAGTAAAAAAGAGCATAACCCAACCCAATAAGGCCCAACATAAGGAGACAAGAGTAAGGTGGAACACCCTTTTCCTCCTTCCTTGCTTTTTATTAGGGTTTATACAGTTTTCTTTTTTTCTACTTTCTACTCTCTCACACCCAAATACCTTGTCCCCCCTTGCAGTTGTGACCCTTTTTGTCCTGCTTGTAAACATTCTTCTCTTCTTTTCCTTTCTCAATACTCCTTGGTATTCATTTGACCCGCTTAGGGATTGAGCCCCTTGCCTTCTGTTTTGCTCTCTGATTTCACATTTTCACATTGTTTTCACCACCCTTCTGTATTCTCTCTCCTACCTCCACCATTTGTCTGAGGCACTTCATTTTCCTTCGGATGGGTTTTTTGTAGAAGTTTGTTCCACTTCTCATGCTCATACTCCAAGAAATGAAATCCAGCAAGAGATTGGAAGGTTAAGGGCATTCCTCAAATGGTAAAGCACTATCCAAAGCAAAGTAGGTTAAATTTGTAGTTGAATATATCATTCCCAAATGAGGAGAAAGAACACTGGCTGATTTGATAGGAGGCCCAGTGAGCATGTGGTAATCCACAACATGTTGAACAATGACTGCAATGTTCCCAACAAACCTCTGGAAGCCACAGTAGAAATTAGGTCTGTATGTGTAATATCATTACTCACACAGGATTAAGTACAAGTCACCATCATTTGAGAATTCATGATAAAAAATAAAACTTTTGAAACAAATGCCAAAGAAAACGAAAAGCAAATTTTGTTAACAAATATAAATCTTATCAAATGAGAAATTTTGAGCCAATCTGTTAAATACAATGCAAAGGAGATGAATGAAGTCTTCATGAATACAAGTGTACAGGGGGGTGGGGGGAAGAGAGAGAGATAATTACATTACTATCTACTGTTATACATTTGTTTTATGTTTGAAGATAAACATTCAGATAAAATTTCACAGAAGTTTATCAGAGCAGTTAAGACATCCATCAGTTGTACTACACCCTAGTCCCTAACCTTAACACTCAACTTACACACCTATCAAATATAATAAAGACAACATGCCTATGAAAGCTTTAGAGCAAGTCAGCTATATGATATATACAATACAATTACAAAACAAGGTGTAATTTTTGTGGTGAACCATTTCTTCACACCAGTGGTGCAGAACCTCTTGATTTATTGTTCAAATGAAAACTGAAAAATAATCCTCCCTGTACAACACTACTTAGAAACAGACTGCACTCACTCCTAGCAACCTGTTACCATTTTCTCATTAAAGAACATAATCACAAAAGTTAAATGTTGGTAGGTAAACACAATCTTCTAGAAGCATGATATCAATTGTGTAAATTAGTCTTTATTACTCTGACACTGAATTTATAAAAATAAAACGGTCTATACAATTATTTGTTTTCTATTTCAGATTTCTAATGGTTTATCTGCAAATCATGTATGTGATTACATATAAATTTCAAGATCAACAAGAATGCTTTTATTGCTTTATACATTATCTCACTTTATTAATATAGATATGCATGTATGAAACCTTTCATATATTATGTATATACATGTATCAAAATATAATAAGAAATCTGTCTGAAGAAAAAATACAACTTTTACTTGCATATTTTCATACTATGTTTCTTTGTTGGTCTAAAAATGTGGCAGTAATGTCTTAAAGCAGGCATTTCAACATCATCATGATATTGAATGCTGCATGTTTAGTCTTACACAAATAGAATGATTTTATGTTCTAAACTTAAAGAACCCTTGTGTTACCTATAATGTTTTGAGCTTTTGTACATTACTGTTAAAAAACATAAAACAAAATGGAAAAACAGATGTTCATTGGAGTTATTTCTTTCATAATCTGAGGTATAAAATGCTTTACGTGAGAAAAAAGTTTAAACTGATGTTAAGTACAAATCATAAATAGCAATGGTATGTACTTTTGTATATGGTGTAAACAAAAGTAAACATTAGAATTCAATTTTAGACTTAAATGTAAAATTCTATGTATCTATAAATCTTATCACTAGTTTAGTTAAGCAAAACAACTGTCCAAAGACAGTTCTCTGTATGAGATGATACATCTCAATATTCTTAATAGAGCTGACTAACACTAATTTTGTTTGGAAGTCTTACCTGTACAGCCTTTGATAAGGTAGGAAAGTGGGTCAATATTTACTGAATGTTCATTTGAAGTTTTGGTAGCTTCACCCTCACAGACTTCAAACTGTTTAGCTTCTTTGATACCATAATATTTGTCCATGGAAACTTGACTTGTCTTGTCATCATCTTCAACTTCATTAATATCACTGTCATCTAGTTCACCTTCTTCTTTCTCCTCTTTTATTGAACCAGTTTCATTTCTTGACTTGCTTTCTTTTTCAACAATACTACTGGCTAAAGTTTCTTGTTTTTTGTTATCGTAGAATGATTCATCTTTCATACATAAATCTTTACTGACAACAGGTGAAAGCTTAGGTTGATCAGGGCTACTGTGAATTGTTTCTGATGATGAACAGTGTCCATTAGTGTGATTGGGATGGATAATTTGGAGATGATCTGGGGTTTTGATTGAATGTGGAATAGTACCTATGCTTGTACTGTTATTCATGTTATTACAACCCTGCTGAGTTGCTTCAGCTTCATGAACGATATTCTTAATGGATGACTGATTATTAATGGTGCTTTCAAGATCATTTAACTCCTTTCTGATTAGTGATAATTCTTCAGTGTGATCTTCAGATTTTGACACAAAAACATTATGCTGTAACTTGTCATCATTACTCCTGTTAAACTTATTAATACTATTTGAACTAATAGATAGGCTCTTAAATGGAAGCTCATCTTGTTCATTCCACACTTCTTCATTATATTCAATTATTGTTCTTTTATCATGATCATAGGTGGTTCTTCTAAACTCTTTTAACTCTCTTACAACTGGTGATAAACCGTCAATGAGATTTTCACATCCTGACACCAAAACACTATCTTCGAACTTGTCATCATAACTTGTATTAAGGATATCTGTATCATTTGCACTACTAGAAAGATTCTGAAAATAGGGCTCATCTTGCTCATTCTTTGCATCTTCATTATATTCACCTTGTAAACTTTCATTTTGATCTTTCATGTGAACCTGGTTTGTGGGTTTTGTTATACGTTGTTCTACAAACAGTCGTTGAGTATTTTCATACCTACTTTCATTTTGAGTGATAATCTGCATATCAGTTTCAAAATCTCCATTTAGTGTGTATATAGATTTTGTCCCTCGAAACTTTTTTAACTTTCCATGCATTTCTTCAGTTCCTTCATTAATCCTTTCAACAGATAATTTTTCTTCTGTGACTTTATTGGAAATATTTCTATCACCTTGAACCTCAGGAATATTTCGACATCTTTTTCTCTGACGTCTGTGATTTGATCTCCTTCTATCTTGACCCTGACCTCTTCCTCTCCATCCACCATAGCTTCTTGGTAAGGATGTATTTTCATTAGAATCTCTTCCTGTGGTCCCTGGATAATTATGATTAGAATATCTTCCACCTTGAACCCCTCTTCGTATTTTGCTAGAAATAAAAACAGCATAATAAAAACTTGTATTTCTAAAAATAATTATAATTACATTTTTTAACAAATCAAAATCTTAACACACATCATAGATAGGGAAGGAGGGAGTAGCAGTATGAAAATACTTCTTACCTCACTGTCCTGTAGTATATATGTTTCACATCTATAAAATTTTTGAATTTTTCCAAGGTCTCATTTGGAAAATTCCTACCTCTGTTTGAGGACATGTTACATTCAGCTTGAAGTTTGACTGGTCAAGGAATTTATTTAGTATTTCATAATTTGACAGCTGCATTATGTCCTACCTGACCCCATGTATGAGGCATACATTGTAACAGTAGCATGAAGTAAAGAACTTTCCACATTCTGTTGCCTTTTTCCTGAGTAATTGGCTACAGAGAAAATGTGTATTGTGAATGCAGTTTGGCACATTCCCACTGAATTCAGTCTAATTTTTGAGGAAGACATTTCATCTTTAATTTCAAAAAGCCAGAACTCACATGTGAATTCCCACTGCTGTATGTTGTTTCCTGGTGATCATGTACAGTTTTATTCTATTCTTAGCTAATCAAATAAAGCTATAATTTATTCATTCTTTCTATTTCATTACAGTTCAGCTCTTTTAACATATTTACATTTTTTTGCTTACAATATTCCTTCTACCTTTTGACAGTCAACCTTCTGTTTTCCATGTCATTCTAACTCAGGCAGCACAAGGTAACTATGCTGCATTTTTACTATTAGACTAACTATTATTATACAAGTTCTATCTAAATGGAGCAGCAGTCTGTTTAACTGGTTTTCTTCTCAATGTTTAAAATAAACAAATACACATATGTGTAAGCACACTAATTACCCAAAATATTTTGTTTCAATTACTTCTCCTCTTGCTGCTTTTTCTTCAAGTTCAGCATTTTTCCTTGCAATATTGCTTTTTGTTGGATATTTCCTATACAAAATAAAAAATAATAAGGTACATCAGGTTTCCTCAGTTTTTATTCTGAAAACTTCACAACACTACCATTTAAACTAGCAGTGTGGTACTAGTATTTTGTAAGGTCAAATTGTTCAAGAAAATTCTTTTTTTAGGTTCTGAAAGAGGGGCTTCAATAAAAAAAAAATCAAAACATATAAGATTTGTTGTTGTTTTCTTAGTACAAATCTAAACAATGGGCTATTCTGTCTACCACAAGGAAATGAACCCCAGATTTTAGCATTCTAAGTCTATAGACTTACAGTTGACCCACCAGGGGACACATAGAAGGATTTCTCTAAAATATTTGCTTGCAATACAATGAACTACAAAATCAATACAGTATTGAAATATTAATTCATGACAAAATTTTCACACTTTTGATGTGGAAGTCTTGCAACAAAATAATTACTTGCTCTATAAACATTTCTACATATCTTGGTTTGTGAAATTTACATAAATCTTTTTTTTTTCACTAGCTTAGTATTGCAAAATACAACTCCAGCACATTTTAAAGAATGAATACCATGTTTCTTACTGTCTTTCGTAATAAAATTATTGTCCTAACATTTATGAAAAACTGCCTTAAGCACTAAATGTAACCTATAGAGGAATTTTCACAATCTTACCATTCATTAACATATGTGCTTTATTTGCATGTATACCATAGTCATATTTTTTCAATTTAATTCACTATCAAACTATAAGTACTAAGTATTGAAAATATTTCTAAAACTATCTTAGATTTAAATAACTTGTTTCTTGTGAAAATGATTGAAACTATTCAAGTACATATAAGCAAGCTTATGCAGTAAATATGACTAAGTCACACAAAAAACTGCATATACTCAATTAAACCTCCATTATCTTTGGTGTTATGACATTGAATTATTAATGAAATTATTCTATCTGGTGACACGTAATACACAAGAAAAAATTAACTGAGTAAAAATATGAAACTTTATATTTCTTCTTTGAAACCAAAAATTCATTTATTTATTAAGTATGTGTATGTATGAGTTCATAAAATAAATTCATGTTACTTCAGAGATACACATTTATTAAAACAAATACACCTTTACTCAACATTCAAGAAAATACATTATATGTGAAAATGCAACAATTTGGTAGGTGGCAAGCAAGTAAGTTTCAGTATGAATTTAGATAACTTCATAAATAAATTTACTTTTTATGCCATCATGAAGCTCAAAAACTTTCAAAAATTCTAAATTACTCTCAGTAGAAACACACAAGAAAAAAAATGCAATTTCATGTTAAAAACAATAACTTGGTCACAGTACCAGATGACAATTTATCAATTTTTACACATTTTGTAACAGAACTAACAAGTTATTCAGCTCACCTATGTTTATTAAGATTGTCTGTTACATAACCGTTCCCAATAAAGTTGCTGCATTATTATTTTATTTAATAAAATACACCTATATTACATACATACAGAATAAACAACTTAGGAAAACAATACATTACTCTCCAGGAATGGCAGTATGAGATCAAACATTTGTTTTACCAATGTCAATAAATGTCACATACCAATGTGATACTACTGACATGTGTTTAACAAACATGTAACATTCTAAAAATATGTAAAAAAATATTAAAAATAATAATTATGCAAAATTTTCACTTGGAAAATTATTTCAAGTACATTCACTGATTACCAACAAACACATTTCTAAAAGTTTATAAAAAACTGGCCTTACTTTCTTCTCTCACTCCTCCACTTTTCAATTTCTTCTGGAGTGTTCAAATTCATAATTTTTTTGGCCAATCCTGTATCATGTTGCTGTAACACACATTGTAACTTATTATTATTGGATACTAAATACATCAAGAATTTTGAAAAAGGATACTGTCATGTCTATTTCCAATTCCAGCAACTTGTTTGTGCTTACCATTTTGTATACTGATGACATGTGAAGAATTTATAATATGTAAATATTTAGGAACACATATCAATAAACTGTTTGTAAATGTGACAAACTTAATACAGTTAGCTTTTAACTCTGGTGCAACTACAGATATAAAAATTAATATAATGATATATTTTCAATTTTGTTTTACAAGCTCACTTAGCAGTTGCTACAGTGGCATTAACAAAAACATTTGTTTTCAATGAAATTTGCAAACTTTAAAAACAGTTCTGAGTTATAAATGATTATAATCATAGCTAACTGTTTGATTAATGGAAATTTACTGAGTCTGAGTTACATTATAATTAAAAACTGCACTTACAAAGATATGGGTTATGTAAGCATTTACTATATTTGGTAAAACTGCTATCATTCTAATAAAAGATTATTATCAGTCCCCTCAAATTATGTTACTGAAAACTCTGAATAATGAAAGAGTTTGGTCAGAGTTGCCGTGAATAGAATCCAACTGTTGTCATGGTTAATGGCCTATATAATCACCTTTTACCTAAAAAGGATAGTGTAGACTAGGTGAATAACTTGTGACAAGAAAAGTTCCACTTTAAAAGTTAATTATGAAGAAGCTGTTTTCAGGTGTCAATTACCAGCTGATGTTGTAATTTTTGGCAAAGACTTAACTACAACGAGTGCATACCATAAGTGAATTAAATGAAAATGGTATATCTCCAGAATAGTTTGAGGTTATAATTCAATAAACCATGTTATTTCTTAATATATCAATATTAAAAATGTGCATACATATACATATTTCCACAACGGTAACTTGAAGGCACAGTGTGAAACCATAAAAGGTATTTTTCAACAAACTCTTCAGCATTTCAAGAAGTAGCAAATATGTAACTGTTAAATGAGTCATTCTACTTGTTCAACGATATACTATAATCTATGACATATTTATGTACATTTTCAACTCCAGTGCTGTCTATTCCAACAACATGTCAATTACAGTTACTTTATGAACTCCCTATATAAGAAAGTAGTAACTTGACTAAATACTGGTGTAAGTTAATATACTTCATGCAGCATTATTCAGAAGATCATCTAACAATTCTTGCTTTGGTGAAAAACAAAACTAGTGTCTTTTAGTTTGGTTAGGCAAAAATATTTCAATACAGATATGACATTCTAATGGTAGACTGAAAATAAATAGCTTTCTATTTCCTCAAACTATAAGTTTTTAGTCCTGTTCCACATACTGTGGTGCTAATTCACAGTCATTTACATAAATTTACGAGATAGCTTTATTTGATATGCAATACTTGACCCCATATTAGGTATAAAGGTTACTGATTCAAATAAACTTAACAATAAAAGAAACAAGTTAAGTAGAGTAGTATACCATTTTCCGATGAATAGTGACAACCTTGGAGTGAGCTTCAAATCTGCATCCATCAATCAAGCACTAAGAAAAACACAAAGAGTGTAGTTATATTATGTTTTTAAAGTATGCAAGTCACTTGTATATGAAATTTTTTATCATATGAACAGATTTTTTTTAAAAACTCTTAGTCAATATGGCTTTAATTGTTATATGCAGATTTCTGGCCTAATTTGGTGCTGAATTTCTGACAATGATTCAATTGTACTATTCATTAAAATTACATACACATAACATATTGATACAATAACTACTATTCACAAGTGATAAAACATTTTTTAAGTAATCAATGAAACATTAAAACAATTCTTAACAGTGAAAAAAATTACATGAGCCTAACCTTCAAATGTCATAAACAAGTCAAAAGGAATGACAACAGATAATGAAAGAAACAATTATGAACACTTGAAAGAATAATAATAAATTTACAAAAATCTCTTAAAGGTTTACCTTCACATGTTCTGCCAGGTGATTATCAAGGCTTTTCTTCTCAGCATATAATCGATCACATGTATCACAATAAAATTTTTCTCTGTTTGACTGCTATGAAATAAGATGACAGTATTAAACTCTGTGAGGAGCATTGTGAAATTACAACAAACATAAATATTTGTTCTAACTCAACTCTTTCCTTAAAATAATATACAGGGTTTGTGAAAAGAAGTGTAGGGATTTTACACTGTTAGATTTTCCAATTATCAATGAAAAACATTGTCTGTCCTTTTCAGAATGAAGATTAAGGGTTCAAATTGTAATGATGAACAAGTGGACAATTCAAAAGCTTTCACTTATTGTTGAGCTTTATGTCTAAAATGAATGGTCCATCATTGCTGCTTAAAGAACATACTGTTGAGAATTTAGTGTTAATGTTGCTCATTCCAAACATATCATCAACAGGAATTGTGGTTTCAACGAGACAGAGTCACATTGTACAGTACAAGCAATAATGAACTGTTCCCAAACAGGGTAATTTCTCATAATGGTGACACAAACTGGCTTCCGTGATTCCTGGATTTCTCAGCAGCAGACTTCTTTTTTGAGGGGGGGTACTTAAAGAGTGTATGTCAACAAGCCATGAACACTACAGGATTTGAAAGATGATATAAAGACAAATTAATGGACTTTAGAATGAAACTTTGACCTCTGCAATTGTAGGTGTCATCCTAAGAGCATGGCAGTGTGTAGCAGTTCATGATGGACACCTACCAAACATTATATTTTATATTTAATGGTTACAAGAAATCTTATTGAGCTACAATTTCATAAATAATAACTACAATTATTGTTGTCAATTACTGCAGTTTTAAATCCATACACTTCTTTTGGCAGATCCTGTATAAGACAAAACATACAACAACAATACAAAGAGTCCAAAATTAAGTACTACACTGTTGCAGCAAAATGTATGTTTTAATAAGTGCTTATGTTTCATATCACACCCTATTAGCAGGCTGAATTTCCATCACTCTTAAGGAAATTAAAAATGTTCCCAAATTCTTCAAACTGAAAAAATGAGTATTTTAATGTTTTTGGCATATTCTACAGAATAACTGCATTGAAATGAGGTCATCCTGTTTGGCATCAATTAACAGCCAAGCAGGGTCTTCCACATACTATATCCATGGTTTTTCAGACTACATTGGTGCCACACTCCCAGCATACAAAAACTAAATCTGTGATCCAAGTGTCAGATCCAAGGGAAAGGCACATCAAAATGTTGGAGGTAAACATTAACACATTATACAGGAAAAAGTAGTATTTAAAAACAGTACTAATTATTACATCACATAGTGCTAAAGTTCCATAATGAACAGGAAGATGAGACAAAGCATAAAACCAAATCTCTTACTAGTTTGTACACAAAACCAATAACATTTTTTACACAAAGTCAAGATCATGTAGTTCATAATCTTGCCAGCAAAAAAAGTGACAGTCCTAACACAAAATTAAATCTCCAAGAGACTGATGTGGAAATAGCACTAGGAGCAAGATTAAATACCAAAAGTTCCATAAGACAAAAACCCCAAACCCTAAATTTTAAAGCAGGACAGATGTAGAATAAAACTATGATCATAAATCTCCAGTTTTCCTTTTCTTGGGAATCTCAGACATAGAACATGGGTGATGTCAGTTCTCCTTGTTCCACTGTTTTTCTCATTTGCAAATAAAAGCCACATTGGCTGACAAGATGTTGAATTTATCTGGGTCTTAAGGAACTGGAAATCAAAAAAGAAAATGACTGTGCCTGTTTGATATAATATTCTAATACTCAATGGACAAAGAAATCTTGAATAAGAGTACAATGAGATCAGAAGAATTGGATTTCAAACTTAAAGATGAAAAAAAATAAAACTTTAACTTTTATAAGAAACCAAAACAATAAAACTGATTCAAATATCCAAGTCCCTACAGAAAGAAACAAAACAAATCTGAACAGAGTGCTGGTTGGTATTCAACAGTTGTTCACAGATTATTTCTGTAGCCAAAGTAACTGGAAATATCATGGGAAGGCATCAGCATACATTTGTTCATGTATGACGGGTTTTGGAATGTTTATATTTTATTAGGAGCCACGTAAATTCAGTTTCTAATAACATGATGCTATATGAGAGATGTAACTGTATAAAAACTTTCATTTCAAAAAAATACAAATGTTATGATGCCCATATTATTAGAAATTTGGTTTCATGTTCATTTAACATAACCATCACTTTATTAACTTTTTCTCTCACTAGAAGGCAGGCTTTTCCTTTAAAGTTCTAAAGCTGTCATAAGTGGTTAATAACTTCTAGCCAAAGAGCAGTGGAACAAATGAGAAAATATGCTTTTCACTTACAGTTCCTTACATCATTACGGTAATATCCACGTTCATCTACTCCCATTGGAAATAGACTAAATGGGAGTAGACAAAGTGGAAACAAACCCAAAAACATACAATCATCAGATTGTCAAATACAGAATAATGTTAACATACAAAAGTCACTTTGGCACAGTTTTAAAAACAAAGCATTTTTGTATTTATACTGTTTACAATATGATGCAATAGCCTTTTAAAACATTCACACATCAATATTTTTTATGCACATATACACTACAAATATATTATATAAAAAACCTAGCTTGTTCTAAAAAAATTATAATACTGCTTTAAAGTTTTTTCATTTACAATAAAGTGGCATACCAAGTTTACAACAGAGTAGACTAAATGGGAATAAACCATCATAAATAGACACATAAAAACATGGACTAGAATCAATTTAGAAAAAACAGAAGAAAATGATAAATAAAAACTAAATTATCTCTCCATTTTTCTATTTTTAACTCCTGTACAGTTACCTCTGACTATTATTTACTTTTGTGTGTGTGTATTCACTTACAAATACTTAGACACATATTAGAGGTTTACTCTTCTAATTATAAATTCATAATTTGAATAAATTGTAACACGTTGTTTGCCTCTATACCTTGACTGCTACAAATATAAACAGATTTTTGAGAAACAGTTTAATACTTTTTTTTAATGTTTGCATTACTTTGCAAACATGAGGAAATATAATCTTGATAAACTAAAATTTGTTCTAAAATCAAGATTCCCAATATAATAACAATACATGTATTTATGTAAAATTGAAACATACTTTCAAATAATATCTAAACAAATATCTTGCATGTACGTACCTGCAAAGTATTAAAAGAAAATAAGAAGCCCATGAAACACACAAATCAATGTTGCAAATATATCAACAATAAAACTGCAGTATAACTTCTCTATAACTGTTGTAAATTTGTGTGGGGCATCTATTTCAACAAAACAATACATTTAATTATACTTTAGTTTTCAACATATGTAATCATATGAGGCACAAATATATACATTACTCTAACTCTCTTACCTCAACACTTGTCATTTCAATATTTTTCTTTGCTTCTTTCATCATTCTTGTCACTAGGTTTTTTTGTTTTTTTAAAGCTTTCCATGATTCTTCACTGTTCACCAGTTTAGCTCTATGGTACAACTGTTTTTTTTTTTCATCTCAAGTGCTATGTCTTCATTAATGAAAGGCTATATAACAGGAATATGGTTCATTACTTAGAATTATTTTTCCAATTACTGACAATAACACTTTCACAAATTATTCAAAACCCCATTCAAGTACAGATTGGATTATTCTAACTATGACCATTTTCTTATACCATCATGAGGTCCTAAACAGTGGAGAATTTTATGTCAGTGAGAATACATATACAAGTGGACAAACCGACAGTTGCCACAGCATTTTAAAAATCTATGAACACAATGTGAAAAGTTCAGGGATTGATTTAATTTGGTACACTTATATACACTTTTGACAAATTTCACAGGACTTTTTTTATGCACACGTCAGAGTGTAAAATATCTACCAAAACAGTAATAAAATTACACAAAGATTCTATAGAAATCCTTAGGGAGGTCAAGGGAGCTACTGAGAGTAATAGATGAAATATTTTTGAGCCTGAGACAGAAAACTTAGAAAAATTTGTAATTTTAATTTATTTTTTTCTGGAGAAGATAAGTTGTAATTTGGTATTATTCAAATTTATAGTAGTTATTATTAGTATATTGTAGTCAGATTGGTTAGAATTGGGTACTGATACTGCAAGTATAGTTAGGTAACTCAGACTTGAATCTATGCCAGAACTGCATATACAAGATATATTCTCTCTATAACTTAACAATCAGAAAAAAGTTCTCCACAGTGTTGAACTATCTTTGCTTAATGTGACCACAGCGAGCTATCCACCTCAAAACAAGGTCAAGAAGGTTACAATGCAGTAATCCCATGAAACAGTAAATGAATTCCTTGATTAGTCAAGCTACAAAGAATAACATCTCATTCTCAAATTTTTCATGTAAAAAGAACTGAATTTAGAGAGTTCCATAATTAGAGCTTATAAATATCACAAACTTAGTAGATATGAAATACATACTACAGAAAATTAATATCTATAGTATCTACATACTAAATATACTTGGGGGTAAAATATGTCACAGCTATAGAGGCATGTTGAGTTAGCAATCAGGTACTCATTTCTAATAAATTTGAACTTTTGGCTGCTTGAAATGAGGAAAAAGGCGATCAAGAGTTTTACATGGTGGGGGCTATCTCATTAAGTATACTGATAAAGTTGTTTGTAATGACAAGCATAGAAAAATTATTATTCAAATGCCAAGTGCTATGATACATGACTTTACAGAGCATTATGATGATTCAGTTGGTGGTGGTAGAAAAGAGCTTTTTCTCTTTTTGCAGCAAATGATTTTGGAAATTAGAAGAGTTGATTAATGAGTATAAATAATTTCTTCATAGATTTAGGGATAAAAATACATGTGTGGCCATTTTAGGAGTGTTCCCTCATGTTAGATGTACAAATTAACTATTTAGCAGGACCAAACACTTAACCCTACACCCACAAAGTCAGTTCACTGGACTATGCCCATATTTTAGAATTAATGTTTACTATAATTCCAAATTTACTTAGTGTATCTTCATGAAATTTGGTAAGCTTTTAGTAAACATTACGAGTATACTGTACAGAAAATTTTTTAAATTTTTAATGATGTATTTCTACTAAAGATTTCTCTGAATTTACTTTAGTCAGTCTGACTCGTACAAAAAAACAGGAAATGAAGTATCTGCATCTGACCTAATTTTTGGCTCTCGCCTCCCAATAAAACTTAACCCTATTTTTTGTAACAATGATAATAGTATGTAAAATAAATTTTTTTCCAAATATTCAACTAAGAAAAAAAAACATTAACATGCAAAAAAGATATAATGAGCTAAAACTTTAATAACTTAACTGGCTTTTTTAACTAAGATAGAAGTGGATTAAAATAATTCAAAACCTATTATGAGAATGAGCTAGACTTATACAGAAATAAGAAAAATGAAATCTTCTTTTCAGTTAGTTATAAATAATCCAATAGCAAGTTTTAAAGAAAATTATTGACATTCTTTGAAAGTAAAATGCAATAGGAAGGTGTGGTACATAGATTTGACTTTCTGGTTTATATCTCTATAAAGCAAGATGATTTGTCACTATAGCATTAGTTTGTGTCTTATCAATATCTATATCATAAATGTGTAACTTTGGTTAAACTCAGAACATCATATAGGGGTAACAAGAATGTCTAAAATGGGCAATTTGGAGTGAACAAGTATTATATGACATAGTTTGGTTTGATTGGAATTTTATGGAAAGTTACACAAGGGCTATCTACAAGAAGTCGTCCCTAATTTAGTAATGAAAGACTAAAGTGAAGGCAGCTAGTAAACACCATCCACTGCAAGCTCAGGTGCTAGCTACTCTTTTACAAATAAATAGTGGAATTCACCATCACATAATATGTCCCCCATGGCTGAAAGGGCAAGAATGTTCGGGGAAGGGGATTTGAACAAGAAACCCTAAGATTGCGAATCGAGCATATGATATAGAGGAGCAAAGATTGAGAATTTCTCGATAAAAAGCAAGAAAATAAAACATGCATGAAAAGATAATTAAAAATTGTTAATTTATAAAGGGTGATAGGGATTGTCAGAAAAGTACAGAAACAAGTTGAATCAAAATGTAAAGATTATGTTTTCAAGGCTACAACTAAGGACCATTAAAAAAGTAAACAAACTGGACTGGAAATAGAATCTACATTATTATTTCAAGCTACAAATGCCTATTTTGACTCCACTAAAACTGATAAGTATCGTAGACATTGAGTCAAAATAGGGATTTGTAGCTTGAGAAGATAATGTAGACACTATTTCAAGCCTTGTCTATGAAAGGATAATGACTTACTGGAAAAAATTCAAAGCGGAACAGATTAAGTTAAGATATCATAACTTATCCTCTCTTGAGAATAGAAGGGTAATAGTTGATCTTATTGAAGTTTAGAAACGATGGTTGGATGGGTAGGATAAAGGCCTCTAATTTTGTGTGCTTGTGTGTGTTTGTGCTGTATTCTGAAAATAATATGACAAAAATATAGAATTTTAAGATTTGGACAAAACAGGCTAGGTCCCAGTTAAGGTAATTTTATTTCTGTAACAGGTTGGTATGGCTTATGGAATGAGTTTTAGTTCTGCTGTAGTAAAGGTTAGCACTTTACAGCAACTTAAGAGGAGGAATCAATGATTTCCTGAAAAATACATGATTGTCTTATATTTTTACAAGGATGGGTGTGTGAAGAAAACCATGTGTCATATTAATAATTGGGTAATTAGAGCTGAATTTATTAAGGAGATTTACATTTGATTGGGGAGGTTGATAATTTAGAACATCCATGATACATCTAAAGGCCTCTTAATACTCCACAATTTATTAAATGTTTGTAGATACAGGGTGTGAAGTTAGAAAATGTGTGTGGCTCACTTTTCCTCAGGTTTCCAAACCTTTCCCAAAAGGAAGTCATACTCACAAAAGTTCTGACAGTAAATTACATAATATGTAAAATTGCATCAATATAACTATGAAATATAATGACAACAATAATTTTCTTTCATTATGTATGTGTTCTATTTGTGCACAACTCACAAATGTGAGGGTGTGACACTGTGGCTATTGACTACATAACTAGCCATCTGTTTTTAATGTTTAATTTGAGGGTACTAAACATTGTTTGTTTGTTTTGAATTTTGCACAAAGCTATACGATGGTTATCTGCGCTAGCCGTCACTAATTTAGCAGTGTAACACTAGAGGGAAGGCAACTAGTCATCACCACCCACCG